CTTAATCCAGGGGTCGGCTTAATCCAGGGGTCAGCCTTATCCAGAGGAGCGTCTTAATCCAGGGGTCCCGCAAAACCCAAGGGTTCCTCCGCAAGGCTCGTCCACGGAGGTTGAGTCAAGACCTAAGGATGCCAATTGCTAGAGTGCGGGCGCCGTTCACTAGAGGGCGGGCGCCGTTGCTAGAGGGCGGGCGCCGTTCTCTAGAGGGCGGGCGCCGTTGCTAGAGGGCGGGCGCCGTTCTCTAGAGCGCGGGCGTTTAAGGGCTGATCAGCCTGCAGACAGCTTGCCTCTCAGTCCTCACATGTTCCTCCCATTGCTCACCCAAACCGCATATCCCCTCGTAAGTCCTCACTCGTTTCTGTACATATTTTTGAGGCGCCTCAAAAAAAGTCCTCACTCGTTTCTGTACATATTTTTGAGGTGCCTCAAAAAAAGTCCTCACTCGTTTCTGTACATATCACCCGCTTCAGCTCCTGGGAGTGCCCCCCGCATCGTGCCTGGTGGTGGAGGACAGTGTGATTAGCTTGCCGCGTGCCTCTTCGTCCTCACACTCTTATCCCCTTCAGTGCCCATTCAATCCTCACATCCCCCCAAATGCTCTCACTCGTTTCTGTGGCCTCTACCTCTTCAGCGCCTGGGAGTGCCCCCCTCGTCGTGTCTGGTGGTGGAGGATAGTGTGATTGGCCTGCAGGCCGCTCTCGGGGCCGGCATGCTGTGTGTTATCACCTACACGCCTTCCACCAAGAGCCAGGTCAGTTTAGTAGTTTTCGTTTTTTCTTTATATCTGGGGTGTCAACATGTCGTTTTCTTTGCCTGGTTTGTGACATGACATGCATACCAGGAATCCTGTAGAGATGCAGTGTTCTACAATTTGCATGAATTCTGCCCTTCCCCTCCTCCCCCCTCCTCCCTCACCCCGTATGTAGGATTTCACTGGGGCTGTAACGGCGTTTGATGATCTAGGTGGAGTTTCTTTGGATAAGCTCATTAGTGCATGCTCTGCTGTTGTGGCCTGAAAGTACCACTACCAACCAAACCATATGAAAACCAGTACAATACATCTGGTGTGACCGTGCTTATCATCTGCACACCAGTGACTAACAAATTATGCTGAAGCATGGATATCACTAGGATAGGAGGAACTAGACGTTGAGCTGGGTGAATGTACATAAGAGCACGTCGTGGGTGCAGTGAACCACTTGCACGGGGACCTTCAAAGTAAAAACCCACCACCGCGAGACACCTTCAGCGCCAGAGGTTCCACAGCGAACACGCCGCTTGCCCTCCCTCCAGGAGCCACAATGGTTCCATAATAAGACCCTGGGAAAGCCATCAGCCCCCTGAAAACATCCGCAACAGTCATTCCTGCCTCTGCAGCAACGCTCCCTGCATCATAGCACCATCCAGAGGAAGTGTACTTATAGAGGAGTCCCATCCTCCTCGCATTGCCGTGCCTTTTCCAACCATGGTCGAACGGGGGACTGTTTGTCACATTAGACCAGGTCTTTGCTGGGAAATTGACCACCGGGGCGTTGGACCTGGCAGTGACAATGCCAGCAGCGGTCGGAAAACCCTGGATGCTCAAGCCAGTCAAGCGGAGAGAGTAACGAATGTTCACGCTGGTGGCATTGCGGAAAACGAATACGCGGATGACACCGCTTATATCCTCAACGCCTCGCAGTCTCGCCTCCACATGACCTGTCAAGGAACGAGTCCAATGTTCGTCAGGGTAAGGTTAATGAAAAGCGGTTTAGTGATGGCATCACGCGTTGATGGTGGTGGCCGGTGGCGCTCACCCTCGTAGCTTCCAACGTGTAATGCATTTCTTGTTCGTCCTGGGTTGACTATTCCTGTCGGCGTCTGGGGACCAGTTAACTTAGCAGCCGCATCGTCCAGCACGCGTAGCCCCTCTGTAAAGACACACAAAGCATTACCGAAGTTAATGCAAGGTCTCTAATAACGCTGGTGGAATGGCTCTTATAATTTTTTAGGCTCGGACATCACTTTTGTACTTCAGTCGTTGAATCCGTTCTCACCTGCTATTGATGCATAAAGTACGAGGAACAACACGAAGGCGAAACGAGGTGTTCGCAACCTCATGTTAAAGGGTCGTTCGTAATGGGAAGGTCGAAGGTGGAGGCAGGTTAGCAGTCAAAGCGTCTAAATGACATTCGGATGTTCAAACGCGAGTGTTAAATCCGTTCAGCACCGGTGTCTAGCCATAAAGAGCGAAGTTGCCGTTAGAGTACAGGCCACCTGGAGCCATGCCACAGCAGTCCTGGAACGCGCAGAATGCGCCATGACCAGTCAGAAGCTTGCTTTCACGCATTGTTTGCGAGTCTGTGCATTGCGCAAAAGACGGAGCCCTCAGAACGCGATATATTAGCCCCTTCGAATGAGAAGTTCGGAAAGACAAATGGGTAATCGTTTTTTTAAACATATGCAAAACGGTACTTAACGGTGTATTGTGGTACTCCTGCAATTTCGTGGCTTCAACCCAACTTGGTGGATCGCGTCATGAGCCTCCGCAGCCAGCCCGAAACTGCTTGACTGTCGCACAGTGCACAGCTTCCCGAATTATTGCCGAGTACACCCAGCGAGAATTTTCCCACGATCCGCGCTGTGGTTTGACTGGCAAATGTGAAATTTGCCGTGGCCAATTTGTTTTCGCCGACGGATTTGTGGGCCTCGCAGGTATGTTACCAGCCGAAGTTGGAGAATTTAATGGTCTGCGACGACTTATGATCTCGCAAAGCGACGAATACGTGGGCAACGACGCGTCAAACAGTGACTAGCGATGCATGGTTACCGCAGCCCAAAAAGCAGGCAAGCATGGGGTACGTGGGGGGAAAGCACTCAACCGCAATTGATGACCTCAGTGGAGTTGCATTCGATAAGTTCATTACTAGAGCCTCAATGTCCTTCACCATAGCACATATTATAAAGTCCAGGTCAGCTGATTCTTGGAAGTTTTTTAAAGCATAAATAGCACTAAGAGGCTCTAATTGAGCTGTCAGTCTACAATGTACAAATCAGCATGACTTCCGTGCAGTGCACCACATGGTGAAATGCATTCAAGATGATGAGGAGCCATCACGAAACATCTTATCTGGCAGTGGTTGCACCGTAAAGACACCCCTTGCCCTCCCGCCAGGAGTCACAATGGTCCCATAATAAGATTCTGGGGACGCCATCAGCCCTCCAATAACATCAGCGACGGTCATTCCTGCCCCTGCAGCAACGCTCCCTGCATCATAGCACCATCCGGATGAAGTGTACTTATAGAGCAGGCCCATCCTCGTATCACCTTGCTTGATCCAACCAAGGTCGAAGGGAGGACTGTTTGTCACATTGGACCAAGTTTTCGAAGGGAAATAAATCACGGGGCCGTTAGACCTGGCAGGGACGATCCCAGCAACAGTCGGGAAACCTTGGATGCTTAATCCGGCCACGTGGAGCGAGTAACGAATGTTCACGCTGGTGGTATTGCGGAAAACGACCACGCGAATCACACCGCTGATATCGCCAATGCCTCGCAATGTCGCCTCCCCATGACCTGTCACGTAAGAGTTCAACGTTCGGGAGGGTTACAACAATACACGCGGTTCAGTCTGGCACGTTATTTGGACAAAAATGTATTGTACAGTGCGTCGCTGTCATGACGGCGTCCAGCGTTTATTGCGATGGTATCGTCGCTTACCCTGGTAACTTCCATGTGAATCTCTTAATCGGGCCGGCCATGGTCGTGCTGCCGAATTCCCTGCGTTGATAGATTCTGTCGGTTTCTGAGAATCACTTAGCTGAGCAGCGGCATCGTCCAGCACGCGTACGCCCTCTGTAAGGACACAGAATGCATTGGCGAAGTCAATGCGAGGTCATTAAAGCTCGCAGCTAAGGATATGGTGGATAGCTACGAAAACTCCGGGCAATAACCTTCTATTTCAGACGTCGGATTGGTCCTCACCTGCTATGGATGCGTAGACGAATAGCAACAACCAGACGGCGAAACAAGGTAAGTGCAGCCTCATGATGGTTGTTCTTCTCTAACAGTCAATCAACTCGATGGAGCAGATAAGCAACGAAAGTGATTGAGTGACGCTCAAATGGTCGAATAGGGGATGCTAAATTCGCCGGACACCCGCTTTCCGCCATCGACAGCGTGGTTGGCGCAGCTCCGGAACTCGCAAACGCGCCATAACCAGTCAGAGGCTTGCTCCCATACTATTGTCGGCGCCTGGAAGTTTTCCTGCGTGCGAGTCGCAGGCGCTGAGGCGCCGCCACCACCAGTCTTCCCACAGGCGCGTCTGCCGCACAGCTGGCAGCGCCCATGATAGTTGACAAGTGCATTGGCTTTTTATGATAAGGAAGAACCGCCCCACCGTCCTTGTAATAGTTTGACTGGCAACCGTGAATTTTGCCGTGGCCAGTTTGTTCTCCTTGACGGTTTGTAGGCCTCGCTGGCATGTTACAAGTGCAACCAGACATTTGCTGGTCAGCGACGGATATTTAGCTCACGAGCGATAACGAGTCTAACGACGACTTTGCGATGCATGGTTACCGCGCAATAGAAGAAGCTGACAATGTGGTGCGTGTGCAGCCAAAACAGTTTGGGGTGGAAGCATATGCAGCAACACGCTGCGTGTGGATATGGAATTCGACTTCAGCCACGAACGAGCAGTGTGCTAGTGGCAGTGCTTGTTCCGCCCAGCTGGCTGGGTTTGCATTGGATGGTTCGACCCTTTTTGTTTTCGTTGGGCTGTTGCCGAGCATTCACGATTGAAACGCTCGTTACACATTTATAGGAAGAAAATGTTGCTAACACTGCAAGCACAAACACATGTATTTCCTGCTAGATATTCGCTGGACACAAAGTCCACACCCATCAACTAAAGATAAATGCAATAAGTTTCGCACCCACTCCAGGCTTAGCATCTGACTGGCGAAAAGGTGCGAAACTTATAGCAATACATCCCTAACTCACCCATTCCACGTGTAAATCTCTAACGCCAGGTGTGGAACTTGCCAGAAGCAACGCCACCAGGAGCAGTGATGCGGCCACTATAAGCTGCAGGAGCGGCAACCATGGCCACAGCAATAGACCCAATAGTCTTGCCGCCATCAGTAGTCTTTGTGTTCGCGTTGTAATAAACCCCGGTCGCATTGTAACGGAAACACACACCAAAGACCCATGCGCGGTTGCGCCTCCTCCAGCCGTAGCCATAAGGCTGCTGGCCAGTGGTGTTGGTCCACGTGGCATCGGGGAAATCAAGGACAGCGTCGCCGTTATTATTCAGGACGGCGGCAGCGGTAGGAAGGCCTGGGGTCGGCAGGCCACCAATCCTCAGCACGTAACGGACATTGTAGTCTGTGTTGTTCCTGACCAACACATCAAAAGCACGAATTGGAAGAACGACGTTTCAATGACACGTTGAAAAGCGCAAAAGAACGGAGAAATCAAGGAACGAGAAGTGCTTCATTGAAAGCATAGTACTAAGCCTGAAGTATGCTCGTGAATGGCACTCACTTGAAGACAACAACGTGCATGCGTCCAGTGATGTTGCCGTTGCCCGTCAGATCAGCCTCCACGTGGCCGTAGAACGTGCCCAGAGCGGCGCCAGGGCCCAGCCCAAGGCCCCCACCAGGCCCCCGTCCGAGCCCGCCGCCCCTGCCGCCCCCTCCGCGTCCCCCGCCAAATCCCCGTCCACCGCGCCCTCCGCCACCCCTGCCGCCGCCATAGCCGGGTCCCTGGGCGAGAACCCCTGAAACGAGAGAAGAGATGAGCATACTGACGACAGCTTAGAAAAAGAAAAATGAATCATCTTCCAAAAATGAATTATCCTCCACGTGGTCGCGTCGTGCTGAGCATGACACATATGGCATGCAAGAAAAGGTTGGCCTCGCCGCTGGAGTCTTACCTGATGCGACGAGGCCTAGGAGCGCGAGAAATACCACAGCCTTGCTAACACGCGTCATCATTGAAGATTAGATTGTCGTATTTCGAGCTGCTAGGAAAGCGTTTGTTGAAAAGCGTGCACAAACAGAGATGCTGGTGACGACTCGAGTTGTTTCAGAAAGTCGCTGCGTGTTGGTCTAGGTACCAAGTAGGAACCACGTACGCCAGTATAAGTACAAAGTATCCATCCTAGCGCCATGGTTCTTTTCGTTGTGGGAAGGTAGATACGACCGAAAAGAAGTTATGCCAGCAAGGCAACAAGTCGTGGAAAGGGAGGCTGAAATTACCACCAGACTGGCTCATCACTACTGAGGGGGTTTGCCTGGGGGGATTGCTATTCCAGCACTGAAACGAGGAAATGTTGGTGGGGAAGGTGTCGGTGAGGCGTGCTTTCGCGAGAAATTTGCAATGTCGAATGCCTTCTTCGTGTGGATGCTAGTCCCTCAACGGCTCCGATTGCTCCAATCGGAGAGGTACTTGACTTGTGCGATTCGGCGAAAAACGGCTTGAGCTTCTGGCTTCGCTGCGAAGCTTTTCGTGCTGGAGAAACTTCTTGCGAAAGCGCCATATTCGGAAAATGGCTGTCCTTGATAGAAGCCCGAGCTGAGTCGCTCGTTACAAGGGCCCCGCACAGAGAAAAGATTTGAACACGTTCAGCATACGCTAGCGCACTGGCAACCTAAGAAATAAAGCTAAGCTGTCCGAAATCCAGGGCTAAGGCCATAGCTATCTGAGATCGCCTTCAGCATGGTTACCACATCATCAGTGGTTGCAAGCGAGTTTCGAGCCAAAGACCGCTTGCGCCCCACAGCACACGAAAAGTACGAATTGGCGTTGAGATCGACAATCAAGCAATACTCCCCACTGCACCAATGGCTTATTTCCTCCCCATGCCCATCCTCTTCTGAGTCGAAAACAGTTGGAAGCGTCGACAAGCTCTCCTGTGTGGAAAATCCTGACTCGTCCGAAACGCGAGTCGTCCCAGAATGACTTGAAAATCTTGACAGATTGGAAAACCCAATGATCGGCGTAAGCAATCTCTCTCCCGCCTCCCCTCCATTTGCTTCCTCTCGCTTTCCACTCCCGTTCCCCACTCCCTGGGTCCCAGCAGCATTGCTTGCAGCTGGGGAACATAGCTCCGCCTCCCCCCGCCCGCCACTGCTGCTTCGGCCCATCCCGGTTTTTCTCGGGCTGCCCGTAGCACCTTCCAAAGCTGACCCAAGCAGACTGACCAGCGACGGCGAGGAGAAGGAAAAGGCAGATTTTTTTTTTTTTCAGACTTTTTGCTCCCTTTCCATCGGAACCCTCCCAGCCCGCTCCCTCGGCTCCTCCCACTGCTACTCCCCCCCACCCCACTTGCGCCTGCTCCAGCTGGTGCACCTCTTCCTTCCGACCCTACTGCTGCATCTCCATCGGAGCCCCCTCCCCTCCCCCCCCTCGGGACTCCAACTTAAGCCGGCTGCTGCGTGCTGTGACAGAGTCTGGAGTGCGTGGCCATGGAGAGGTGTCAGGGAGCGCAGCAGCGGCAGCATTAGCAGCAGCGGCAGCAGCAGAGAAAGAAGGAGAGGGAGATCTGGGACCAGAAGCAACCGAAGCACCAGAAGCTGCTGAGGTAGCAGCAGCGGCGGCGGCGGCGGCAGCAGGAGCAACAGTGGTGGCAGCAGCACCATCCCTCCCCGCATGTCTTCCACCCCCTTCCATTTGGCTTCTGCTCTGCGAATCCCCAAAAATCACCCGAGCCACCAGTGGACCCGAACCTCCCTCTCGAGCTGCAGACTGAGGCACGGGGCTGCCGTATCCTGGTCCGGCAAACAGAGGCAGAGGGGCCGAGCCTAGGCTGTCAGGTCCGGGGACACTCGGAAGAGGTGCGGGAGGCAGGCCCGGCGGAGGCTTGGTGTCAGGAGGGGGATTGGAGCGATCGTGCGGAGCGGTGAGGGTGCTTGTAGTGGTGGTGCTTGTATCGAATGTGGTGGTAGGGCTGGTAGTGTAATACTCTGGTAGGTATGAATCAGCATGCTCAAGAGCCGTGATATGATCCCGTGTGACTTGATCCATGGTTGCCCCGTCCAAGGGCCCATGGCCCATGGTTACCATGTTACCATCCATGGGATCCATGATGCCATCCATGCTCTGCTGGTAACCGTCCATGCCGGGCGGCATGTTGTTGATGTTGTCGTGCGGCAAGTCTGGCTCAAAGAACTGGTATATGTCCTCGCCCTGTTGGTTGGGGGGGAGATGATGTTGGATGCACGTCGTTCTGAGTGCATGTCATCCTAACGTCCTGCCGAGTGCTCGTGCTATTCATGCGTCTATTGTTTGCATGAGCATATGTCATTGTGCATTGCTGTTGGATATTATCATCTCTGTGTTTTTTCTCCAAGTTTAAATGCTTGATCATGCAGGAGAAATCCAGAGCTTTCCAACGATACCAAGATCGCCTTATTCCGACCAAGATCGCCCAAGTTACAAGATTTCCAAGACTTGGATTTCTTATTACCTTTTGGGGTTATATCTAATTTGGGTGATTACTTGGACATGACTATAAAGGGATCTTTGATTGGGTGGTTAGGAAAGACAACTTTGACTTTTGGATTGGGGTGGCTAGAAGTTACTAGCATGGGTTGCAAATGTTGCAATACCTAGGCAAAATCCAACTAGATTGGATTTTGCATGTGACACCTCAAGGACCTCATGATGAGGGTTGCATCCATGCTGCTAGGAAGGTTCCTACCATCCTTCTCTAGCTCTTGGAGTACCCCTTCCTTCTCATGGTTCTCTTGGAGGTTGCCAACTCCAACTTTCTATGTCTTAATGTTTGTACTTTTTCCACCATTCTAGTCATGTGGCTGCTGGACGTTTTTACATGGTTCTCACTCTCTAGACCATCTTAACGACTGATTCAACTTGGAGATGATAGCTTAGCCTAAAGCACAACATCCTACTGAGCGGATTTGCGTTTAGTTGAGAATTGAGTTCGTCGTAAGCTCTCAAAGTGACAGATCCTTAACAACAAGTGGTATCAGAGCGGGTAGTTGACTTTGAGACGACTAATTGTCGTGAATTCTCAACTAATGTTGACGAATGAGACCATTTTCTAGTAGCTCTGCTTGCAAGCTTTCGATTGGTGGTCAAACCGCGTTCTACTTCGAAGTATCCAGTCCGCGACGACGATTTTGGTAGAATCAAAATTTCTGGCAGAATTCTCTCCAAACGATTTCTCAAGTTTCCACCGTTCATAAGGCCTCAATATGGTTGGTACGAACTCCGGAGGTGCTAGTGGCGAGACGGATAGAAGTAGAGAGGCTGGAGAGCAGGGGGGAGTTGCTGGTGGAGGAGTGGGGACTCACCAACCAGCCAACCCTACGCTACCCTCAACTTCTACACCATCTCCTACAACCGTGGATCCCGTGAAGGCGTTCGCTATTGAGAAGTTCATGGGGGAGGACTACGAGCACTGGAGCTTCCGCATGAGGCTTATGTACTCCCAATACAAGCTATTGGATTTGGTGGAGGGGAAGGAGAAGATGCCGGAGGCCGCGGAGCTGAAAGGAGTGTGTATGAAGCGATCGTTCGACGCGTACATGCTCATGGTGCAAGCGGTTGGCGGACGACAACTTGACCACATCAAGGACCTCTTGGGTGATCCAGAGTGTGGCCCCAAGGCTTGGAGGAAGCTTCTGGATGTGCACTCACCGACACATGCTACCGGCATCGTGCTACTCGCGCGGCGGCTGCGCGACATCAAGTTCGTTGATGGAGAGCCGATGCAACCGGTGTTGGATGAGATGCGGGACATCTTCACGAAGCTCCAAGGCGGTGGTGTGGTGTACCCAGAACTCGTGCAATGCGTGGAGATTGTGATACGGCTGCCGGAGTTGTGGTCTGCCCTAGCGATCAACCTCAACTCTCAACAGCCCCAGTGGAGCGTGGATTATATTCGCGCGTGCATCTTTGAGGAGGACTTGCGGCGGCGGAGTGTGGAGCGCTCGGCGGAGGGGGCTGGCTATGGAGTTGGAGGTGGAAAGAGTGGCTTCAAGAATAAATGGAAGGGCAAGAACAAGGACAACCCTAAGGAGGATGGCGGTGGGGGTCAAGGGGAGGTGTGCTTCTACTGCAAGAAGCGAGGACATCGTTGGCGGAAGTGCTACCAACGACCCAAGGATTGGATCCCGCCTTCATCAAGCAACCAGCGTGGTGGCACGATGAGTGGGGGAGTCATGGGAGCTAGTGGAGAGGAGAAGGATGAGGAGAAAGGCGGCAAATCTGAGGAGCGGAAGGCCGGGTTCTTCTTCGTGAACGAAGACGCAACCGACCTCGCTATGGCTGCCAAGGTTCTTCTTCATCCCCTCACCCATTGGGTGATTGACTCGGGCAGCTCTTGGCACATGACTCCTCGTGCGGACCTACTTGATGAGATTCAGCCGCACCTATCTCTACAGTCACATCCGCGATGGGCGCCAAGGCCAAGGTCATGGGCATGGGGTGCGCGAAGTTCATGGGAGCGGATGGAGAGCTCGTGGGGCTGAAGAACGTGCTGTGGGTGCTTGACTTGTGCGCGAACCTGATTTCAACCGGCCGGTTGGGAGATGCGGGTGTGAACACGGAGACGATTGGTTCGGAGTGCTATCGTGCCTACAACGATGAGCGGCTGATTTGGGACCTGCGGTGGAAAGGGGATGTCCACAAGTGGATGTGGCAGATCCCGGTCCTCCCTTGGCGGAAATCGGGCAAGGCGGCAATGGCGGCATCTATGGAGGAGAGCGTCACTGAGGAGGAGCAGCAAGGTGTGCAAGGAGAGGAGCTGATTGGAGGAAGCGCGGCGGTGAAGGCGTCGGCTACCTCGGGCCAAGCGGATTGACTTGGCATCGGCGGCTCGCACACGTGGCTGTTTCCACATTGGAGGTGATGCACAAAGAGAAGTGCGTGCATGGGCTACGACTGCAAGGAGATGGCGCTCACTATGGCAGCTGCGAGGCGTGCATGCAAAACAGATTTGCACGGTTCCCATTTCCATGTGCGGAGGGATCGGCGAAGGCACCCTTGGAGGTGGTGCACATGGACCTGGTGGGTCCTATGAGGACAGAGGGGACTGGAAGAGTGCTGTACTTCCTCACCATAGTGGACGAATGGAGCCGTTTCACATGGGCACGTCCCTTGTCCAAGAAGAGCGATGCTACAGCGGCGATCAAGGAGGTTTGGTTGCCGATGGTGGAGCGGCAAGCGATGCGGTTGGTGAAGGTGCTGAGGAGCGATCGTGGTGGAGAGTTCCTTGGAGCGGAATTCACCAAGTTTCTCAAGAGGAACGGCATCCGACACCAGCTGACCTGCCCAGGAACACCGCAGCAGAACGGCATTGCTGAGCGTGCCAACCAGACCATAGGCGAGGCGGCTAAGACCTTGTTGGGGGCTGCTGGGATGCCCTACAAGTTTTGGCCTGATGCCGTTCACCATGTCATCACGGTCAAGAACAGGGTCTTGACTCATGTTGGCGACAAGCATTGGGTGCCGTACGAGCGTTGGCTTGGGAAGAAGCCATCCATTGACATGCTACGGGTGTGGGGTTGCATGGGGCTTGTGATGGGGCCTAAGGAGCAGAGGCACAAGCTGGAAGTTGCTGCTGTGTGGGCTGTCCATCTTGGGATGGCTCCTGACTCGAAGGGGTGGCTGATGTGGGACCCCAAGAGCAAGAGGACGCTGGTCAGCCGTGACGTCAAGTTTGTGGAGGACGTCATGTACAAGGATTGGCAGCAGCAGCAGCAGGTGCAGATTGGCTTGCGTCTGCAGGAGTTTGAGCGGTTTGCAGTGGAGGAGGTTCAGCTGCACCTTGATGAGCTCTACGGGTCAGAGCTGACCAGTGACCATAGTGGCGGTGGTGAGCAGCAAGTTTCTGGTCCTGCTGGAGAGGAGGGGTTGGAGGATGAGTCTGCATGTGTGGACTCACCAACTCAGCCCGGACCTGCTGCAAACGCCAAGGTCACCAAGAGGAGTGTGCAGAGGGGAGCTTCACCACATGGGCAGCAGACTGCAACCCGCGAGAAGAGAGTGGCAGCAGCACCCTCAAGGCTGAAGTATAGCCGTTTGGGAGGACCCAAGCAAGGTGCCATGGCGGTTCAGGCGGATGAGGGAGATGATGAGGAGATGGCGTTCTGTTTCTTCACACCTCTGCCTGGAGAACCAGCCACATTGGAGGAGGCACTGAGTGGACCCCAGAAGGAGGAGTGGAAGGCTGCCATGGATGCGGAGTTCAACAGTCTCATTGAGAATGGGACTTGGGAGCTTGTTGAGTTACCCGAGGGGCGACGGCCGATCAGCAGCAAGTGGGTCTTCAAGGTGAAGAGTGGTGCTGATGGTGCGTTGGAGCGGTTCAAGAGCCGTTTGGTCGCCAAGGGGTTTCAGCAGAAAGAGAAGGTCGACTTTGGGGAGATCTTCGCTCCCGTTGCAAAGCCAGTGACACTGAGGACTTTGATGGCTGCGCAGCTGTGAAGGGATGGCACGCGAAGCAGATGGATATCACCACTGCATTTCTCAATGGGATACTGCTGGAGGATATCTACATGGCGCAGCCCAACGGCTATGAGGATGGGACCAGCCGGGTGTGCAAGCTTAAGAAGGCCATCTATGGCCTTAAGCAAGCGCCCAGGTGTTGGTACGAGAAGCTGGAGGAGGTGCTGCTGGGTGGAGGCTTCAAGACGTCCCAGGCGGATCACAGCTTGTTTCTGCTTGGAGAGGGGGAGCAGCTGCTCTTGCTGCTGGTGTATGTCAACGACATACTTCTGTTCTCACCTTCTATGGAGCAGATTGAGAGGAATCAGAAGCTGCTGATTGACAACTTCAAGTGCAAGATGCTGGGGGATGTCCACTACTACTTGGGGCTGCAGATTGAGAGGGATGTTGAGAGGAGGTGGCTGAAGGTGCATCAGTCACACTACATCTCTGGTGTCATGGAGCGGTATGGTGTGACTGGGGGTCGAACTGTGATGACGCCGTTCCCTGCGGGCTTCAAACTGAAGAAGGCAGCTAAGGAGGATGATGTACTCGAGGATGAGCAGCAGAATGAATATCAGTCACTCATTGGGAGTGTGATGTATGCTGCAGTGCATACGCGACCTGATGCTTCATTCGGAGTGGGGCAGCTAGCCAGAGTTGTGCAGCGGCCCACTAAGGAGCAGTTGGAGGTGGCAAAGCGCTTGGTGCACTACCTCGGATCAACGGCATCTGCTGGTATTCAGTTTTCAGCTGGCGCCTCTCTGTAGGGGCGCCTCTCTGTAGGCGCCTCTCTGTAGGTGCTTCTCTATAGGCGCGTCTCTGTAGGCGCCTATCTGTAGTCGCCTCTCTGTAGGCGCTTCTCTGTAGGCGCTTCTCTATAGGCGCCTCTCTGTAGGCGCCTCTCTGTAGGCGCCTCTCTGTAGGCGCCTCTCTGTAGGCGCCTCTCTGTAGGCGCCTCTCTGTAGGCGCCTCTCTGTAGGCGCCTCTCTGTAGGCGCCTCTCTGTAGGCGCCTCTCTGTTGGCGCCTTCTCTGTAGGGGCGCCTCTCTGTAGGGGCACCTCTCTGTTGGCGCCTCTCTGTAGGGGTGCCTCTCTGTAGGCGCCTCTTTGTAGGCGCCTCTCTGTAGGCGCCTCTCTGTAGGCGCCTCTCTGTAGGCGCCTCTCTGTAGGCGCCTCTCTGTAGGCGCCTCTCTGTAGGCGCCTCTCTGTTGGCGCCTCTCTGTAGGCGCCTCTCTGTAGGCGCCTCTCTGTAGGGGCGCCTCTCTGTAGGGGCGCCTGTCTGTGGGCACCTCTCTGTAGGGGCGCCTCTCTGTAGGCGCACCTCTCTGTAGGGGCGCCTGTCTGTGGGCGCCTCTCTGTAGGGGCGCCTCTCTGTAGGCGCACCTCTCTGTAGGCGCCTCTCTGTAGGCGCCTCTCTGTGGGCGCCTCTCTGTAGGCGCCTCTCTGTAGGCGCCTCTCTGTAGGCGCCTCTCTGTAGGCGCCTCTCTATAGGCGCCTCTCTGTAGGCGCCTCTCTGTAGGCGCCTCTCTGTAGGGGCGCCTCTCTGTAGGCGCCTCTCTGTAGGCGCCTCTCTGTAGGGGCGCCTCTCTTTAGGGGCGCCTCTTTGTAGGGGCGCCTCTCTGTAGGCGCCTCTCTGTAGGGGCGCCTCTCTGTAGGCGCCCCAGAGCAGCGGTGCCTCCTCCTCACAGCCCCCCAGAGCAGCGGCGTCTCTCCCTCATCTCCATGCCAAGTGCCCAAGATGAGTGTGACTGAGCTGCACCAGCAGCTAAAACTACCCTCTCACTTGTTCCCCTGCACCACTCATTCCCCCCTGTTCTCCCCATCCCCATCCCCATTCCTCCCTCCGCCAGGTGTTTGAGTTGGACGTGAATCAGCTGCACCAGCTGCTGCTGTCTGAGAAGGTAGGGGGTGAGGCAGAGGGATTGGGGACGATTAGGGAGGCGGGTGGGACGGAAGTGGCAGAGGGGGCGTGAGTGGGGGGAGGGGGCGTGAGTGGAGAGGGAGGAGGAGGGGAATTGGGGAGAGGAGGATGGATTTGGAAGGCGGCGGGCGGCGGGTGGTGGTGGTGGATACGCGCACAGAGGAAGAGACATCATGCCAATGATTTCAGAGTCGACTCAACAGTCAAGGCGTGTGGTGGTGGTGGGTACTCGCACAGAGGACAATGCGGCAGTATCAATGATTCCAGGCGGCACACTGAAGCAGAGCGACTTTGAGCGGCACATGGGACGATTCGGCGATCATCCAGTATGAGCTGCACGCAGATGGGTACCAACCGGTGAGTGTTGTCGCTCGTGAGATGCTTTGTGTGAGTTGAAATTGAAACGGGAGGGAAGGGAGCAACAGGCTCTGGTGTTGCCATGGATCTGCCAGTGCTGCCCTTTGGAGCAACCATGCGGGTTCATGTGTTCTAAACCCAAGTCATGGGCCATGTGGTGTGCCAATGCCATGGTTGTCTGGCGGTTGGAGTGACATTAGTATAAGACCGCCCAAGTGGGTTCGTTCCATTACCAATCCTACTGATACACCTACGAATAAGTATGGCAGTATGGCAGTACGGTCATTCATGGCTAGAGCTGGTCTGCATGGCAATCGAGGAGATGTCGCCACCACAAGCAACACCACCAGCAGCAGTAGTTGCGGTACATCTCCTGCTGCTGCTGTTGCTTCTGCGATGGTGGTTTAGGTTTGCTTTTGAGGCCACAAGTTGCAGTGTGTCCCGTGTCTTAACAAGCTTGCCTACCGGTAATTCATCTCAACTGCAACATTTCAGGAGTGACTGAGCAACTCTATGGAAAAAATGTTTATCCAAATGACTACAAACACAGCACTACAAATCGTCCCGTAGATACGGTAATCTCATTGCCATTTGGTTAGACAAAGAGACGTCTCCAACATCTTGATGTGGTAGTTGAGTTGCTATCACTGACAAATTGATACGGTAATACCGTATGCTTATTCTCAACTTGAAGCTGTATAATATCAAAACTTGAGATAATAATGTTGCAAGAACTTTGCGAGGACAACCAAGTGATACAAAAAACATTCACTAAAATTGATGTAACAGAAAATACAGTAGTTACCTCAACAAAATACATCATTTCCCTGTGACAGCCTTCTTGTATTGCTGTGTTACCCACACCCACCTCTGTGCTGCATTAGCCCTCACAACACGTGACACAAAGCCACTGAATCTGCTGAGGATTGAGGAATAAGGCATCGTGGTGTTGCCGCAGAGCCCTTGTATGGGCTCCGATACAAATCATGGGAGCAGCTTGCAAAAGATGGCGCGGAGAATGAGATCCATCATGTATAAGAACTGCACAAACATAGAAGTTGCACGTATTACGACATGAACGAACCAGAAGCTATAACATAAATGAAATAGAACCAGGTATTGACGGAACAGAAAATGTAAACGTACAGTGTAGAAGGTACTGACAGGCGCCGCAGCATCTGATAGCTCCACCAATGCGTGTCCTTCTACAACCTATAACACCCACAACGTGACATATAGACGTTGGTATCGCCTCGTTTCAGGCTCTTGACTCATTGAAAACAATGACCAGCAGGGAGGGGAGTGCATAGAGTGAATGAAAACCCATGTGACAACTGAGGGCACGGACCTGGAGAGCGGAATAACGGGAGAGAGTGGCTGCAAGGCCTGCCCTCAACTCCTCAACCTCTGGTACATCTATGCTTGCCCCTCCATCCCCACCAGCAGCAGCAGCAGCAGCGCCATCCTTGCCCAGGGGGCGGGGGACCCTGTCGTTCTCAGATACCGCCTCCCCCAGCAGCAACCTGCCCAGCACGAGCGCGTCCGTGATGGAGGCGTTGCAGCCCAGGCCTAGAGAGGGCAGCGTGGAGTGCGCTGCATCGCCTATCAGGGCCACCTGGGCGTCACTGTCATGGTAGCGCCAGCACTTCACCTGGTGGTGGGGAAGTGGCGTGTAGAGGGGGAGGTCACGCAGGAAGAGAGTGTGTGATGAAGTGCGCTGCATCGCCTAACCAGGCCACTTGGGTGCCTGCGTCGTGGTACCGCCACCACTACCACGGGGAACAAGAGAAACGGGCAGGGGGCGAGAAAGAAAGAATAACCCACCTGCATGCTCGTCCTTGGCTTCTGCTTCAGCAGCTTCCAGGCAGCTTCCTCAGGGACATCCAGCCAGGGCAATCTCTCATCGAGGTATTGTTTGGCAGCAGCCGGGGAGGCGAGGGAGAGCCAGTCTAGAGGCGGGTCGGTGGACTTCCACCCCCACACCAGACACATCTCGCCGCCCACTTGCGGCATTGCCACCGCCCCGATGTTTTTTGTGTTGGTGACCTGTTGAAGAGGGGCGGTGGGGAGGGGAGTGAGAGGGATAGTGGAATAACGAGCGAGGGATACTCAGAGTGAGGACGGAGTAGAAAATAGGCCAAGAAGTATAGTTGCAAAGAGAGCATAAACAGACCTTCGCAGTGAAGAAGAGAGAGGTGGGTGTGAGGGCGGGCGGCACGGGTATGCTGACAACAGTCCAGTCGTGATACACACGGTCCGTGTGTATGGGGAAATCCCACGTGCGTGCAACCAACAGGTTGCGCACATAGGAACGCACCCCGTCCGCCCCCACCTGATGGGGAGGAAGGAGAAAACAGGAGAGGCGGGGAGAGGCACACGGGCACGTCAAGAAATCACCTTTTATTCGCTCCACTATCCTCTCATTCCCTCTCCCACTCTCCCAACTCCCAGAATTTTCTTCACTCCCTCACTCCATGCATCCCTGACACACTCACTCACTCACCAAAAGGTCAAATTTGATCTCAACGTTCTCCAAGCCACTGCCACCACCCCCATTGCTGCTGTCACCACTGTTGCTGCTCTCACCACTGCTGCAACCTGCGCTGCTGCTGCTGGTGCTGCTGCCGCTGCTGTTACTGCTGCCACTATTGCTGCTGTCTCCACTGCCACTGCCACTGCTGCAAGGCACTGAAGCAGTGACCACGTGGCCCTTCATATCCACATCCACAATCCTTGACTCAAAATACACTGCCAGGTGCTTGCTCAGGTGTTTCTTCAGGTGCTTCTGTTCCTCAGCACTAGTCTTCCCCCTATCCTCATCAGAAATTTCTTCACTTGCGGTCGCAGGTTTGTACCCCTTAGTAGCTCTCTCGGTAAGCGCGTCAAGCAGAGTGGCACAAAGGTCCGTGCGAGAGACGAGGCGTTGAGGGGGGTCCTGAAAACAAGGAGTGACCATTCGTTGTGTGGGAATGGGGGAGGAGGGAAAGGGATCGCGGAACTCTAGCCAGAGGCGGACAATGAACTGACTGAAAGGGAGGGAAAGATCGAAACAATGGTTAATACAGAAGAGTTTTGAGAAGCCTAAGAAAAATACCGACCTTTAGCAGCCTAATAAACCCACCTTGGGCATTAAAGCCTACCTTGGGCACTGAGAACCTGATGAGGCGGCCGAAGGCAGGCATGACCATCTCGTGTGGGTTCACCAGCACTGGCTGCACCTGCACACGTGGCAGGAGGCGATTGGATGAGAGAGTAGGTTGGGAGGGGTCTCATAGCTTGCTGTGCCTGCTGGCGTGCAGGTGGGATATGCCATAAAAGGAGGAATAGGGAGGACAATGAAGAGATTAGGAGGGAGAGGGGATTGTGAAGCATGTGTGCGCAAACACACACCCCACCTACCACACACCCCACCCACCACACACCCCACCCAGCACAAACCAGACTCTGCAACCCACCTTGTGCATGACTCCCGGAATAGCCATCAGGCAGTGCATCGCGCGAATGCTCAGCCCCATGGCGTACCTGCCGCCATTCACAGCGGATTCGGGGGAAAACGGGGGAGAGGGGGAAAAGCGGGGGGAGATGGAGAAGGTAAGGGAGAAGTTTTGAGAAGGCTCAGAAGAACTTGACCCCTGAGCCGCATCCGCTTTGACTTCCCGACTGCAGCTCATCCAGTCCACATGGCTGACGGCACCTACCAGACCAGAGTGAACTACAAGCCGACTCAGAAGCCGCATCTCAGTGTGTGCTCCCCGTTCTCTGCGTCTCTCTCTCTGCGTCCTTCCATGCTCGACACACCACACACGCTCTTACCACGCGTGCTGCCACCAGGATTGGAAGACGGACAAGTATCAGCAGATGATTGGCTCGGGGCAGGTGAGCAAATGATTGGGTGGGGGCTGGTGTGTGCATGATGGCGACCGTCTATTACACCAATTTACGGGTCCTTCAGTTAGTTTCAACAGATGTTGTCGTTACTGTATATGGCTCTAAACACGGCTGCACCCTTCACCAGCTCCTGATAGTCTCGCTCTTGCCTCCTCCCCCCTATCCTCCCTTTTTCCCTCCCGTTCCTCCTCCCTTCTCCCCGTACTCTCCCCTCCTGCAGGTGCCAGTGCGGCCAGGCGTGTTAGAGCTGATGGATGAAGCGAGACAGGGGGTACGTGGAGGGATGTGGGTGGAAGAAGAGGAGGGAGAGCGGGGGGGATGGAAAGAGCAAGGGAGCTGTGGTGACTTTTGAGTCGACTCAAAAGTCACCTGGGTGGAAGAAGAGGGAGAGCGGGGGATTGAAAAGAGGAAGGGAGCCCGCATGCCGGATAGGAGGGGATGTGTTTTTTGAGACGGGATTTAACGTTCTTAAAATGTTGTCTCTTGACTGGAGGTATGGGGGAAAGGTGGTATAAAGAGGACAAGAGGCTCACTGCCCTTCCCTGTCTCTTCCCCTTCTCCCCATCCTTCCCCCTCCCCCCGGCACTCTCAGGGTCTGCTGGTGGCGGTGTGTTCTGCAGCCACTAAGAGCTCAGTTGTCTTTCAAGTCGACTCAATATTCTCTCCCCATTCCCCCACTTCCCCACCTGCCCCCCGCCTTTCTTCCCCCCTTCTCCCCCCCGTCCTCCCCCCTCTCTCCTTCGTCTCAGGGTCTGCTGGTGGCGGTGTGTTTTGCAGCCACCAAGAGCTCAGTCGACGTTTGAGTTGACTCAATATTCTCTCCCCCCTGCTTACCCCCTCAAACCCCACTTCCCCCCCCCTCGCCCCCTCTCCCCCCTCGTCTCAGGGTCTGCTGGTGGCGGTGTGTTCTGCGGCCACCAAGAGCTCAGTCGTCTTCACTCTCACCAGCCTGCTCGGGAAGGTACTGTTCATTCCCCCTCGCTCTATTTGTATGGTGGTGCCTCAGAAATAGATCTTACCCTCAATAAGCTTCTGGGTAAGGTGCTCTTTACACCCCTTCGCCCTTGGCCCATCCCATCCCCATTTAAACTGTCACATCCAACTCAGTTTGTTATGTGCCTGAGAAATCGCCATAAGTGCCACGTTCTTTTGTTTACCATCCTTTCTTTTCGCTCGTGCTCCTTAGCTCTGAACCCAAACTCCCATACTTGCTCCTTTGTCAACTAGCACCCCGCTCTGTCAACTCCCTCCCTCCCTTCTGTTCTCTCCCACTGCTCCTTTTCTTCCTCCTTTCCCTCCTCGTCTTCATTTCCAGGAGAGGTTTGACCGGCTGGACTGCTTCTTGGCAGGTGGGTGTCTCTTACCTGCCTCTCTTCTGCTTCATTGGTCGCGCGTTTTATTTCACATTGCGTTTTTTCGAGCCATCAGAAGTGCAGGTGTTGCAGAAACAGTTACTTGTCTACCGTCTCTTGTCGTCATTTTTTCCTACCTACTTCCTAGTTAGTTCCTCCACTCTACAGTCATTCCAAACTTTTTCCTCCTCCGTTGCTCTCCTCTCCTCGTGTTCCACCAGCCGACGACGTCCCAAAGAAGAAGCCAGATCCGACCATCTACAAGATTGCAGCGCATGTGAGATCGCAGCGCAGGTGAGATCGCAGCGCAGGTGAATCCTGCTTGCGTTGAGTCGACTCACAAGTCAGCTCATGTGAGCCCACCTTGCACAGCAACACTCAGTGTACTCGCCCAACACGTCGTCACTTCCGAATTCGAACTGTTTCTTGCCTGCCGTTTACATTCATGAATGGCGGAGTTTAGGGGCGGTTGTTCGAAGGTGGGTGTTTGAGGGCGGGTGTTAGAGGGCGGGCGCTGTTATTAGAGGGCAGTGTGATTGGCCAGCAGCGTGCATCTCTTGTTACGAATAGCATTACTTGAATATTACTGTGCACTCCTCACCGTAGCAAGCCGAAGCACGCACTATCGAGAGTGAAGACGAAAAGGCAGAAGAAAGGCGAAGGGACAGACGGTTACGAGGAGCATCTGGACCATCGGGCAGAAAGCATCAGGCAGCAGCAGTGGCGAGGATTCTGCCCGAACAGTTACGTAACCACTCGGAGTCGCACGGTTGGATTTCGCTGCAATAAGGGAATGTACCCCTTAGAGTACATGGCTAGCTAGGTCGTTTCGAATTCCCCTGTACTCATATTTATATTCCTTGTACTGCACGTTTTTATCGTCTCAAAGCATTTTACATTCACTCTGCTATTGAGGTCAAGGGCCCACCAACATCACTTCTCTGCGTGCGAACCTTCCTGAGTAGATCCTAGGCCATGATCAACTTCTGATCGCAGCATGGTATGAGAGCGACTCAGGAATCCTTCGCACCGCCATCTCCGAAATCTGCGACATTCGGAAAGTGGCGTCCGGCGCACGATCACGTGTAAGAATGGCCGGAGGATCTGGAGGTCAGACGAATCTGACGGCTGAAGCGCAGCCCAACCCGGCTGCGACAAACGAGGAAACGACGACGATTCCTTCCGCCGTCCTCGCACAACTGCTTCAGTGACTCACGAGCCTAGAGCAAGGGCTCCAGACATTGCGGAATGGCGATGCGGGAACTCCTTCCCAACCCACTCAACCGGCCTCAAACGGCCAAAACTCCGCCCCGCAAGGCTTCTCCCTAGATACGAATGGCTCAACCCCCAAGACTCCCTGTCCCAGCGATGAAGCAATTCTCTCCGCGCAATCAAGGTTTTTGAGCATATCAAAAATAAAGACAAGTGTGTGCTTTGACGGCAGAGACTTTTACACCTGGAGCTTCGAGCTGGAGCTGCTGCTGCAAAACGCGCAGATTTATCATTATTTCGACGGGAGCTACTCGGGACCTGCTGAGGACACCGACGACGCAAGGACTCGCTATTATAACGAGTCCCTGATGGCATACGGGATTCTTCTGCGTAACATGTCGCCGGCGGAGCAACTGAACATTCGTTCATACAAGACATTGGCTGCCCCAGCCCTCGACGCTTGGCGCCACCTGAACGGCGTGTATCAGCCCAAGGACTCCGTCTCCTCGAGCCGACTACTCCAGCAACTGCTGGAAACTAAGATTACCTCAGGGGAGAAGGTCAACAGCTACATCAACCGCTGTCGGAGCCTTCGCGATCAAATCGTGAAGTTGGGAAGCTCGATTTCCGAGGAAATCTTCGTGAACATTGTGCTTCAAGGGCTTGGCCTAGAGTGGCGGCCCTGCAAGGCGCTCCTCCGACAGCAGGGGGTCATCTCGGAGGCCGCCCTTTGCGCCGCCCTTCTCGTCGAACAACGGAATATGGATCAGCAGCGACCAGCGCCACGACGAGAACGCGAACGGCTCGCCTTCTACGCCGACAACAACGAAGAGCGACGACCGCGGCGCCTCTACTGCAAAATCTGCAGAAACTTCGGGCATTTGGCGGATCGATGTAAGTTCCGATCTCGCCCTCGCCAGACCAATCCGAGCAACTGGTCCGGCCGACAAGACGCACGAGGCGACGTGCGTCCAGCCCAAGGGTATCAACCCCCACCCGCGCGCAATCTGAACTCAACCGTTCAGCATCAGCAGCAGCAGCCATCAACTGCCCCTACGCGCAACGTCATGAGCAACATGGCCATGACAGGCGAGTCACGTCGTCGCCGTGTTCGCTCACCCTCACCTGAGCCAGCACCGCACCCCATCGGCGCGTTCACCAACAACAACCCGTTCAGCCCGCGCCGCGACTTCAACGACGACGACGACCAGGACTGGAACCTCCCAGTCCCGCTGCTTGAAAGTCCCCCGCACATACCAGACATGCGGGTGGCGCCACTTGATTGGCTCTCGCGCGAGCAATTTCTGAAGTTCGACACCCCGCACATCGTCACACCGCGATTGGCGCTGCTCGCACGTGACGACAACAAGCGCTACAACACCTGGTACCTGGACAGCTGCTGCGGCCAGCATATGGTGGGCTCCGAGCGTTACATATCCAACGCCGTCCCCACCCCTACAGTCACTTACGTCACTGTGGCGAACAACACGCGCCTGCGCGCAAGCGCACAAGGCATTGTCGTGCTCAAAGCACGTGGAAGCTGCACGCACATCACGCTTAACGATGTGCTGATCGTCCAGAACCTGCGCTTCAACCTCCTGTCCGCCGCACAGCTCATGGACTGCGGCGTCGACCTCAGCACGGATCGCGAGACACGAGACATCCTGCTGCACTACGAATCGCACACATTTCCCCGCAGGCAGATCGGACGAGCGCACTCCGAAAATGGAGTGTATGTCCTAGATTTTGACATTCCTGACTGCAGCGGCGACTCGCACGAGTTGATTGATCTCGTGCCACTGCGCTTCGAGCACATCCACCGCAGGGATTGGAAGCACCCTGACGGCAGACCGTGGGTGCCGCATCATCCCCACCCACGCGAAACGGCGTTACACAACCCCGATCCAGATGGCATCTGCAGGGATTGTTACACGCCGACGACATCAATGAGCGCGATTGCCGGCCGCGGACTCGCCGCCATCGCTGAAGCAGAGCGCCACGCGCCCCCAGAGGAAGGGATGTCGCAGCTCGAGCTTGAAGTTACTACCCACGGCATTTTCGGCACGCCAGAGCATCCCCTCATCGGTCCCCCCTCACAGCACCTTCAAGGCATGCTGCGCGGAACTGGCGTCGGTACCTTTGATGCCCATGGCGAGCCGCGACCCTATACCTACGAGAGTTTTCTGGCCATCTACTCTCATCAACGCGACTCATCGAAGAAACTCACCGCCGAGCAAGAGGAAGAATTGGCGCGCCGCGAAGCTGAGGAGCTTCGCCAGCAAAGCCTCGCAGAAGCACGTGGGACATTCGCTTGCGCCACCTGGGGAGCTGAGGCTGAAGAAAGTGCCTCCAATGAAGGGGGGTGGGGGAGCGCTGGAGCATGGGGAACAAGTGACACTAGCGGCTGGGGAGACAACGGCGGAACCTGGGCCAACACGAGCGGCGGATGGGGCGCCGCAACTAGCGCCGACAATAGCGGCTGGGGTACTTTCCGCGAAGAACGAAAGGGGGGAGAGGATGAAGCTAAGGAAACTGAGGCAACACCTGCAGTCGTTCCTCTTGGTCGTCCCCCGCGTCACATTCCACTCGCACCACCTCCTCCTGACAACCCCCCGCGTCGCGATCCATGGAACACCATCATCTGGGGCAACGAGCCGTCAACCCCGCGTCGCACCGTCTACGGACCTGCCCCTGAGCCACGCGAACCCATCCTCGTCCCTGGAACCATCCCCGGGACCAACATTCTGCTCTCTGAGATTCGCGACAGAGAGTTCTTGGCGCTGATGCTGACCACCGCACCGGAAGAAGAAGAAGCAGAGGGAGTAGCAGCAGAACCTGCTCCTGTACCTGACGAAGACCCTGAGGAAGCGCGCGCGCGCTACATGCGCACCTCCGGCTTTCGCGCTGACGATACTCTCTGGCACCAGCGCCTCGGACACCCTTCACGCGCGACGCTGAAAAACTGCATCGACGCAGGCGTCTTCGCTCCTGGCGCACTCCTGCGCCCTGATGGCTCCGAAGTGAGAGGCGCGACACATCCGCGCAACTGCACCGTCTGCCCCGAAGCTGCGCTGAGCCACCAACCGTTCCCGCTGCTCGAACCTGGAACGAACCGCTACCCCAAGCTGCACAAGGTGTACAGCGATTTCCTGAACGTGGGGCATTGCGGAGTCGAGGACGAAATGTACACGCTCACCTTCATGTCAGAACATCATAGCTCATGCATATTGTGTAGGCTATAGTGGGGTAGCCCATAAGGGGTACAACCCAATTAGGGTTAGTACTTGTACCCAATTCATTCATAGTTCATTCATTCCTTGTTTCTTATCATGGTATCGAGCAGGTTTCCTAACGGGAACGATTCCTAGGGCCCACCACTACGAGTTTTTTTTTTTCCTGCCCGGAGCGCGCTTCGCTCCGGCCCGAGTCGCGCCCGGTGTGCTCTCATCACCGTCGCGCCCTCACTAGGCCCCTCACGGCCCCCTAGCGCCGCCCTTAGCGGGCCCGTCGCACTGCCCTTCGCGGCCGCGTCGCGCCGCCCTTTTGCGGCCCCGTCGCGCCGCCCTTCGAGGCCGCGTCGCGCCGCCCTTTCGCGGCCCCGTCGCGCCGCCCCTTTCGCGGCCCCGTCGCCGCCCTACCTGCGGCCTCGTCGCCGCCCCTTTCGGCGGCCCCGTCGCCGCCCTACCTGCGGCCTCGTCGCCGCCCTACCTACGGCCCCGTCGCCGCCCTACCTGCGGCCCCGTCGCCGCCCTACCTGCGGCCCCGTCGCCGCCCTACCTGCGGCCCCGTCGTCGCCCTCCCCTGCAACGGCCTCGGTGCCTACTCCTACGGCCCCGGCCCCTGCTCCTACGACCCCGGCGCCTACTCCTACGGCCCCGGCGCCGCCCTTCCCGGCTCCGACGCCGCCTCCCACCGGCCCCTCCGCCGTCCCTGATCAGGAGCCGCAGCCGCCAAGCCGCCCAGCGACCGAGCCGCCGGGCCGCCGAACCGCCCAGCGGCCGAGCCGCCGGGCCGCCGAGCCGCCCTGCTGCCGAGCCACCCGAGCCGCCGAGCCGCCCTGCCGCCGAGCCAGCCGAGCCGCCCAGC